GTACCTCTGACTGCCCCCCGTCCCTCTGACTGGCCCGTGTGACCTGAGATAAGGAAGCATCACTAGAATACATTATAAAAAAAACAAAAACTGCTCCCTCTTACAGTTTAAATCTTTAGTTTGACATGCAGTGTGTGACATGTCTGCTCTGAATGAAGCCTGCCATGAGAAAAACAATGCGCCTGACAAATTATAACTTGTTGATTTGTAGTTTTGAGTCAGTGCACGCTGCTACTTCAAAGTCAGTATGGTTCCTGATCATGTGAACCTTATTACAGTATCATGGTGGTCACATCCAGGCTGGAGCTTTGTACTTTTCTCTCGCTCTCTCTCTCTTTAAAATGTTAAAGAAGAACTCCAGGAAATGTTTTTCATTAACCCTTGCAGTGCTGCTTTACTGCTCGTTTGTGTCTAGATTTAAAGATGCACTGACTGAGACCAGTCCTAAGGTCCTTTTTAAATCATCAACATCTTGTGACGAGGGAGCATGGAGCCGCCTTCGCAGCCAATCAGGAAGCTGGGCAGCGTGTAATGACTCGCTGCCCAGCTTCCTGATTGGTCGGGAAGCTGGCCAATCGGGAAGCCAGGTGTAATGACGTGGCGCCCGACTTCCTGATTGGCCTGGAAGCCGGCTTCATGCTTCCCTCGTCACCTCATGATGAGGGAGCATGGAGCCGGCTTCCCGGTCAATCAAGAAGCTGAGCGCCGCATCATTAATTGGCGCCCGGCTTCCTGATTGACCAGAAAGCCGGCTCCCATGCTTTCTCGTCACCGAGTGACGAGAAGCATGGGGACGGCTTCCTTGCTAATCGGAAAGCCGAGTGAGGAGTCTTTGCACACCTCCTGGCTAATCAGGAAGCCACGTGGCGAGTCATTAAATGCCGCCTGGCTTCCTGAAGGGGACTTCCGCTATCGGTATTCAGTATTGGCGAAAAAAAATCAGTACTCGAGTACTTGAAAACCGAAATACCGGTATTGGTGCATCCCTAATGAGGATGATTGGAAATCACTCATCTCATAGTTCTTTTAACTCTTGCAATGCAGGGGTAGCCCCGCTGTGAGGGTTAATAAAAATAAAACAATTCCCGGAGTTCTTGAAGTTTTACTGAAATTGGTTTGTATAAAATTAATTTTTTTATTATTATTATTGCATAGTATTTATATAGCGCCAACAGTTTGCGCAGCGCTTTACAATATAAGGAAGACATTACAATTACAATACAAGACAAGATGGTAAGGAGGGCGCTGCCCCTGAGGGCTTACAATCTGAAAATTTGTTGTCTTTTTTTTTGTTTTTTTCCTCAGTGCCGGATATATTAAAATCATATAAAAGGTTTTTTTTAATCTGGTATGTCCTTGAGAAATAACTAAAATTATTTAGGTAAGCAAATTATTTGAGAATTGACCTAATTCATACAGGAGCTGCTTCATGTGATCCAGACTTTAGTTTTTTTCTGGTCAAAATGGGGTTAAATCGAAGAGAGTCCTTGAGAAATAACTAAAATTATTTAGGTAAGCAAATTATTTGAGAATTGACCTAATTCATACAGGAGCTGCTTCATGTGATCCAGACTTTAGTTTTTTTCTGGTCAAAATGGGGTTAAATCGAATCTAAAAGACATCGTGCAGATTTGGTCAGATGATCTTAATGAGACATGAAGGACACGGGCTGTTTGTTTGTTTTTGTCACTTGCATACCTTATATGTAAATCAGCAAGCTGCTTCTCATAATCCTATAGGTTTCAATAGGTTGAATGTTGTCTGTATGCTGGAGAGACTAAGGTGAGGAAGCAGTTTATTGGTGTATAGAGCTCTGGTATGCTGTGAGTTTCTGAGCCGTCAGCTGATACTAACACGGTTTACAACCTGTTGTGCTCTTTTAGGGGAGGGCACGGAAACCCAGACCTGACGAGACCGGCAAGATGTGGCTCAAGCTGTTTCTGCTGCTCCTCTACTTCCTCATCCTCTTCGTACTGGCCAGGTTCTTTGAAACAATAGTATGGTACGAGACGGGCATCTTTGCCAGCCAGCTCTTGGACCCAGTGACGTTAAGCTTCCACCAACTGAAGAGCATCCTGGAGTGCCGAGGCTTGGGGTATTCGGGCCTTCCAGAGAAGAGAGATGTCCGGGAACTGGTGGAAAAATCTGGTAAGGCGTGATAAAGTTTTAGTATTGAAATATACAGGTGAAACTCGAATAATTAGAATATCGTGCAAAAGTAATTGCAGTAAGTGCTGCAAAAGGGGCCCAAACCAAGTACTGAGTACATATGCATGCTTGTACTTTTCAGAGGTCCGATATTGTTCTATGTACAATCCTTGTTTTATTGATTGCATGTAATATTCTACTTTTCTGAGATTGTGGATTTGGGGTTTTCATGAGCTGTAAGCCATAATCATCACAATTATGACAAATCACGGCTTGAATTATCTTGCTTTGCATGTAATGAGTCTATCTCATATATTAGTTTCACCTTTTAAGTTGCATCAGTGAAATAAATGAACTTTGCACGATATTCTAATTATTCGAGTTTCACCTGTACATAACAGAGAAGAACGTATTGACACTAGATTTCATTGAATATAAAGCCCTTGAAAAGCAAGATTCTGTAGCTATGACTACCAAAAGATCTTTCTTTCCAGAAAGGTAACATTTGCACAGGAAGTACAGGGGACACCTAGGTCACGTTGGAGGACTGGTATGAAGAGCTTGTAAGGAAGCTTTCACAATACACATGGTAGCGTTCACTGCTGGATTGTTTAAAAAGGGGCCTGCACCACTGCAAGGGATCATATCCTTCTCTTTAAGTCACTGCTTGGTGAACTAACCTGTGCATGTCATTGCTCTGAAACCTGACATGTACATACATGTACTTGTTCAGGGCCAGCGAATCGCCATTTAACCAGTTGACATCCGCGGTGTTAAACCCCCTTCCCATCCAAGGATAAAGATCCATTATATGGCGGATAGTTTGTAGCTATCTAACCATCACACCTTTTGTGAGCTTGTTGGACATCCCATTCCAAAACCATGGTCATTAATGTGGAGCTGCCCCCCTATCCTTGTGGCTATAACAGCATCCACTCTTCTGGGAACACTGTACACAATATTGTGGGAATTTGTGCCCAT